AAGGGAAAGATTGAGGATGCATCTGATAGCCCAAAGGTTTAAAGGAAATTAGATGTATATGAATTTGTTACTGTTTAAAAAACCACAAACCAATGCTAGATGAATAGTTTGCCTGAACAGCTTTGTGCCAACTGTGGCAGACCTATGCACATTGCACACTGAACACAGGGACTTACTTCCGAGTAAGCATGCTTCATCACAACATTGCACCCGGTTTAAACATACACTCAGGGACCTCAGGGCAACTCACTTACTGAGCATCCATTCTGACTGGTTTTCAGGGAGGTTAGACAACACTGACTGTTCACTGAACAGTCATTCTGGCTGGTTGCGGGGAAGTTAGATGACACTGAGTTAAGCAAGTTCCTTGTCGCTTTCCTTTTTGCCCAAAAGTCTGTATTGGGGAAGTGGGTTTATTGTGCCAGACCTCCCAGTTGACTGCAATTGTGCAACATGCATTTGCTGCAATCTGATTGAATCACATGAGGAAATAGCAGCGATATAGAACAGTCTCTCTAATCTAACCTGAAAGAAGCTAGTATATCCTATTTTCTGTTTCTCCAGAAGGGCTGAAACTGACGTGATGCAGAAAGAAAGATCTCACCCTCTTATCAGGGTTGCTGGTTTTGATTGGAGCAACAGCCATGAGGGAGGGGTGGGGTGGTGTTCGTTCTTTTTCCCATTGTAAAGTGCTCCCCGCCAAATCTGCTATTAAACCTGCTATGGGAGAAAAGGGTAACTTTATATCCCTCCCCCAAGTTGGTCTAAGAGCAACTGGGGGAATTCAGATCAGGGGGAAAGGGTTACACATCACCTCCCTCAGCACCATGACTCTCCTAAAAATCAAACCCTCCCACATCTCATTTGAAGTATAGAGCGGAAAAACCGGAAGATCTTATCACAGCTCTCTCTCGCATCAAAATCTGTTTTGGCTCTGAGTCATATTTTGGAGGGGAAATCCAGAGGATTTAAACCATTACTTCCCCCCATTCACTAACTAACGGCATTAAGTGTTTTTCTTTGCAGTAGTTGGTTACACACAGATCTTTAAGGACTGTCAGCAGCAGCTAATCTTATTCTGGGGGAGTCCTTTTATCACCTCATATTGTGCTTTGCTTTTAATTATTTTGTTTTTTGTAGCATTGTATTATTTCATAACCTCCAACATTTATCTGATGAAAATAGGGACACCTTATATAATAATAATAATAATAATAATAATAATAATAATAATAATATACCCCAACCATCTGACTGGGTTTGCCCTAGCCACCCTGGGTGGCTTCCAACATATATAAAAACATAATAAAACATTAAAGAAACTTCCTATACAGGGCTGCCTTCCAAGGTGTTCTGAACGTTGCATAGTCACTTATCTCCTTGGCTCAGTGGGGCCACATAACTCCATACCCTCCCTCATTTCTCCAATGAAAATAGGGACATCCTAAGGGAAAGCGGGATATTCCGGGATTAAATCAGAAACAAGGACGGCCTCTGTAAATCCAGGAATGCCCCTGGAAAATAGGGGCACTTAGAGGGTCTGTGTTTTACTATTGCTTTGAGTTGCTTGTGTAAAGTGATTAACAAACTTAATAAAGAATAAAACCCTGCTACTATTACAACTACCATTAATAGTAATCGTAATGTGAAAGCACATCTCTGTGAGACAAATTCCCCTTTCATATAGCAATAAGAACCCTATAACAGGCAAATATAGCGGATAGTAAGTTTTCACTGTCATAAACTCTGACCTTGCTCGTTCCAAGCATGGAGATTCACTGACACTGCAATGTATATGCATTTGCTAAGTCTATACCCTTCCCTTGTCCCATATGTGCCGTTCTGTAATACTCATTACCCAAGGCAAAACTGAGAGGCTATTAAAAAGTTGTCTTTTGAGAGGCTATCAAATGCCAAGGTTCTGGTATAAACAAGAAAAGCTTTGGATTTCATACCATACTCAGGCAATGCAATATATCATCATAATCCTCATAGCCACCTTTCAGGAGGGGGTGAACATTTAGGGAGCAACCTGTGTCCTCTAATGAACTCTGAACAGTCAAGACTTCTCAACAAAGATGTGAATTTGGGCATTTCATGGATTGACTTAAGGTTGCAATTCAATGCACGCTTCTCAGGGAGTAAGCCCCCAATTGAATGTTGTAGGACTTATTTCTGAGTAAACGTCTCAACCGTGGTGTTAACATTCTGATTTAATGGGAACCTAGAGTCGGAGAACGGAAACTTGTACAAGTGACACAGTCATCTGAACCCAAGGTGTGCTCCAAAAAGCTGGCAATGCTGGGCATTTTGCATATATATATATATATATATATGTGTGTGTGTGTGTGAAAGGAAGAGGAGCAGGTTTGCTCAAGTGTGTTGCAGGTAGAAATGCTGTTTGTAATGAAGTGAGAGCAGTAGTTTACTTGCTCGAATTAACAAATAAGAAAGTTTTGAGAATTTAAATTCTAGATTAAAATTGATTACATAATTGAGAAGGGGATTGTAACCAAAACACTGGGGCCTAATTTGATTAGTAGAGTGCCTGGTATCTGGTGGGCAATCTCATCCTTTATTTCCACCAAAGCACTCGTCAGGAGAGCTATGAGATTCAGGTGAGGGTCAGATGCCTTGTTAATCCCAGCAGGTATATAACAGGAAGACCTGGCCTGCCCAGGCCACAAAAGGTTTACAAGGTTCAGTTATTGCAAAAGTTTTTCAGTGTTAATTTTATGCATTTTTAAAAATCACCATGGTATTTAACAATAATATCTTATGTTCTTTAAAGGAGAAATTGTGAATTGCAGAATTTTAAATACCCGTCATCATCGTTGGCTTGGCTTCACTCAGTTTTGTTTATAAGACTCTTCCATTTTCTTCTAGTTGTGAGGGTGGGGGATGGGGAGGGGCCTCACAAGAGAGTAGCCTAGGGCCTTTCTTCATCTAAATCCGGCCCAACTGTCCATGCTGGAATATTAAGGAACAATAGGCTATAATAGGACTGATGAACAACCAGCCCACATATCAATCTATGGTGTTTAGTTCAATGACCTGTTTCTCTGTAATCTGTTTTTTGAGGACTTTTGGAATAATAATGATTGCAATTAGACAAGCTCCTTGTTGTTGTTGTTTTATTGCATGTCATTATTTATCTTCATTTCAGCTGGCGAAAACCTACCCATGTCACCTTAGATTGTTCACTTCTCAGATTTCGAATAATGAGGTTTTATATTACCCTTTCCCAATCTTATAGGCAAAAACTGCCTGCCCACACACTTCCTGCATGCCCTTCGTCCTACGCATAAGATTTATTATTGCCTGTTAACAATGGAAGCTGTTAAGTGCAGGCTTTAAAACAACCATTTTAAGTTGGGTCAAAATACCCATGGCTTCTAGCAGAATGAATTTACTGTCTTCTGCATAAATGGAACACCCTCCCATCAGATGTCAAGGAAATAAACAACTAATTGACTTTTAGAAGACACCTGAAGGCAGCCCTGTTTAGGGAACTTTTTAATGTTTGATTTTTTTATCGTGTTTTTAGTATTCTGTTGGAAGCAGTCCAGAGTGGCTGGGGAAACCCAGCCAGATGGGCTGGGTATAAATATTATTATTATTATTATTATTATTATTATGTCAGAGGGAAAGAGCCGAGAGTTTCTAAAGGGAGTTAACAGAAATTGAAGAGAGGCAGCTTTGGACAGGAGCTACTGCGATCAGAAGATCTTCCACAGTATCATGCATGAATTTAAATACCCGAATAGGGCCAGGAAAGAAGATAAGCACCCTGGGAAGACAGCGTCTTAATTGTGCATTAAATCCTATATTTGAGAAGTCAGCAAGGGAAAGGTATCCAGAGGGCGAAAAACCCCTCACATTTAAGGTTATATATATATATGGCCATTTTTCAGCTAGAACTCACCAGATCTCAGTTCTGGCACCTCTCAGGAGGGGGGCGGGGTCCAGTGCCACTACAGTCGTACCTTGGGTCCCTAATGCCTTGAAAGTCTAACGTTTTGGCTCCTGAACGCTGCAAACCCGGAAGTGAGTGTTCTGGTTTGCAAACGATCTTTGGAACCCGACCGTCTGATGCACCTTCCGCGCCTTCCAATTGGCTGCAAGAGCTTCCTGCAGCCAATCGGAAGCCGCACCTTGGTTTCCGAACGTTTTGGAAGTCGAATGGATTCCGTTCAACTTCTGAGGTACGACTGTATAAGAGAACAAGCATTCATGGTGAGTTCCAGAACCTCTTTCTTCTAGAAAAATAGCAGTGTGTGTGTGTGTGTGTGTGTGTGTGTGTGTGTGTGTGTAGGGAGAAAGGGAAGTTCTTTTCTTTTTGTCACCACTGCAGAATCAAACCATCAACCAGAGAAACAATACACAAAGATATTCTCTTGCATATGGCTGGGGGAAATTAATGGACGTTGCGTAAGGACCCAGATGCACCTCTTGGGAGCGCTTTTCATTCAGCTGGACCTTGAGAAGGGGAAAAAAAGCACAGCGAGTTAAAGACATATAGATGTTTTCAAGCAGCGAAACAAAGAAATCAATACGAGAGGGTCCTAAGGGCTTTGTTCCGGGTAAATTCTGAACATACTTGGTTTTTGTCAAACCAGCATGCTAAACCCCGCGTGGCCTCTGGTATATTTGATGAAATGCTGCTGATTTGTCAGCAGATTGCCCAGTTCTTTTAAATACTGCCTTAGGAGCCCCCGAATGGGATCAGGATTGTAACACTAGGGGAGGGGGAATAAACCTTTTCCTCTGAGCCAGGTTGCCTGTCAGCCCCCTCCCACTTACAGTTTGTCCCAGGAAGGAAAAGTACCCAATTTTGTCTCCACAGGGCAACCAGCACCTTGGCTTTAGATGGGGATAACTGTAGGGGGGGGGGGAATAGTCACGCCCCTACTCCAGTGCTGTGGTTCTGATCCAGTTATAAAACACTACCTGCTGTTTTCTTTTTTTAAAATTACTTTTCAGAAACAAAACAGAACACATAGCTTAGTTGGTAGAGCATGAGACTCTTGTAATCTCATGTTGTGGGTTCGAGTCCTGTTGGGCAAAAGATTCCTGCATTGGACTAGAGGACCCTCAGGGTCCCTTGCAACTCTACCATTCTCCGATTCTACCTTAAAACACCAAAGAGGTTTGATATAATTCTACGATTCTACAATTCTATATATAACAACTAAAAGGAAGATTATACCATTCAATTCCCGGAGGGGGGAGGGAGTGGCGAGGAAGCAAAACCAAGCCAGATCATTGTTGTTGTTTAGTTGTTTAGTCGTGTCCGACTCTTCGTGACCCCATGGACCAGAGCACGCCAGGCACTCCTGTCTTCCACTGCCTCCCACAGTTTGGTCAAACTTATGCTGGCAGCTTCGAGAACACTGTCCAACCATCTCGTCCTCTGTCGTCCCCTTCTCCTTGTGCCCTCCATCTTTCCCAACATCAGGGTCTTTTCCAGGGAGTCTTCTCTTCTCATGAGGTGGCCAAAGTACTGGAGCCTCAGCTTCACGATCTGTCCTTCCAGTGAGCACTCAGGGCTGATTTCCTTAAGAATGGATAGGTTTGATCTTCTTGCAGTCCATGGGACTCTCAAGAGTCTCCTCCAGCACCATAATTCAAAAGCATCAATTCTTCGGCGCTCAGCCTTCTTTATGGTCCAGCTCTCACTTCCATACATCACTACTGGGAAAACCATGGCTTTAACTATACAGAGCCAGATCACAGAATCGGTCAAAGAAGCATCTTTGCATAAAACTCCATGAGTGGCAGGTGTTCTATATCCATGTTCCTTCACTGCAGGGTAAGAAATAAAACTTGACCAAAGGGCATAAAACTTGTCTCACTGTTTACCTTCTCTACATCCTTGTACGTGTCCAGTCATTTTTTCCATAAGACCCAAATTCCAGTGATCTGGAAGTGGTGAGATCTGTATTCAAGAGTTTGGCTGTTGTAAACTTAACGGCAGTTGTAAGGTGAATGAAAAGTTCTTTGTGACTAAGGGCGTGAGCTTCCAAGTTTAAAATGGAGAGAAGTACAGTGGTACCTCGGGTTACAGACGCTTCAGGTTACAGACGCTTCAGTTTACAGACTCCGCTAACCCAGAAATAGTTCCTCGGGTTAAGAACTTTGCTTCAGGATGAGAACAGAAATCGGGCTCTGGCGGCGCGGCGGCAGCAGGAGGCCCCATTAGCTAAAGTGGTGCTTCAAGTTAAGAACAGTTTCAGGTTAAGAACAGACCTCCGGAACGAATTAAGTACTTAACCCGAGATACCACTGTACAATTTTAGGGTCAGGCAATCATGCTTTAGTTTGTTCTCATGCCTGCTTCCTGAAAAACTATGAACACGAATTTATATATGGGTTTAAAAAGCACAACGGTCGGCGGTTCGAATCCCCGCGGCGGGGTGCGCTCCCGTCGTTTGGTCCCACCGCCTGCCAACCTAGCAGTTCGAAAGCACCCCCAGGTGCAAGTAGATAAATAGGGACTTCTTACCAGCGGGAAGGTAAACGGCGTTCCGTGTGCTGCGCTGGCTCGCCAGATGCAGCTTGTCACGCTGGCCACGTGACCCGGAAGTGTCTGCGGACAGCGCTGGCTCCCGGCCTATAGAGTGAGATGAGCGCACAACCCTAGAGTCTGTCAAGACTGGCCCGTACGGGCAGGGGTACCTTTACCTTTACTTAAAAAGCACAACATGTGCATAGAAGAACCACAATTTCCGCAGTTTCTCCAACCATTGGCAAGACTGATCTGAGTAATTTTACTTAGCAAAAGAGGATGCATGTACGAGTGGTGTGAAGAACCTTTATTGAGTTTTTGTGAATTCTTGTGGGTACAGATTTAAATGGGGCTTTGTCCCAAATTTGGCTCCATTCAACCTTGTCAAATTCCTCCCTGTTTTGGTGCCCTCATATATATCTAATTCAAAATATAAACATATAATAAGCCATAAAATAAATTTTATTTTTTTGAAATGAAACAAAACCTACAGTAAGATGGAAAATAGTGTGTATTTTTCTTTAGTTGTATAAATAATGTTTACTTTTTGTTCAGCTGCACCATATGGGCCATGGTAAATGCAGCCATGGAAAATATCTGTGGTGCGCCCCCCTCCCCATTCCCTTGATTCCCTAATCATGTGCTTATTTTGCTTAATGGTTAATCCAGCCCTGCAGTGCATAACACTCTGATCATCTCTTCCACCAGTCCATAATACTGACAAAGATAACTTGCTTGTGAGCAGAGGTACCCCCATGGAAAAGTTAAGAAAGATTCTTGCACATTTGCCACTTTTTAAAATTATTTTAAAGATTTGGGGCTATATTTTGGGGCATTGACAGCAGCATGCCAGGCAGAAATTCAACTGGTGTATCTTCCATGCATCACCTGGTGAATTTCAACCTGCTGTGCAGCTACTTCCAGTGTTCCTGCTTGTGGGCCAGAGAATGGTGCCGTGGATGCAGGAAGCCGCCAACTCCTTGCACCTTAAAGAATAACTTATTATATGATCTGCTGACATTTTGTGATTTGGCATAACTGGTCTCCAGGGTATTTTGTTTTGCGCACAATTCCAACCTTGTAGTGGACGAGTGATTTCTCTTTGCAAAGTGTTAGCTAACTAATCTCTTGGGCATCGTGGCTAAACGTCACTTCACACGTTGTGGTTTAATTTCTGCTGACACGCAAACGCGTTCGGCCAGATTTTTATTTTTAAGGAGCAGATCTAAGTTGAAAAGCCCAACTTCCCTTTTCTATGGGAATCTTTCTGCTCACAGGAAAACCAGCCCTGCAGATCAGTTTTCAACCATCTTTGTTGTACAGTGGGATGGACTCCCTTGGGAGAAGTGGAGTTGGGAAGTTTTTAAGCAAAGATTGACTGGCTACATATCAGGGATGAGAATATTTACCGTATTTTATTTATTTCCTAAAATTTAGATATTGCTTGATTTACAAAGTAGTGGATCTCCTTCATCAGCTAGGGGTGGGCTAGGTGACTTTGGCTGTCTCTTCAAGCTCTTATTTTTCTCGTTTCTCTCATCTTTAAGTATATATTATGTGAATCAGGTTGCCAGCAAGGTAGTTATCAAACTGACGCGGCATGAACATCACTTGCTTGTGGTAGAGAAGCTGTGGATTTGCTTGGGGTTGGCAAATCCTGCTCTAATAGCTCATTCACACGCACAAACAAAAATCACTTTGCGTGCACACATCCCTGGGATTGAAGACCCCAGTAAATTCCCTGGGACTCATTAGCAGGGGAGGCATACGCAGGATTGTACCCATCTAAAACGATCTCCTCGCCTCTCCCAAGCAATTGACGTCAGGTTACCGCCTCTCTCCATATATATAAGCAACAATATATATAAGCAACCGAAAAGCAACAACGAGAAAGTGTTAAAACAAAACAAACCCAAAAACCAACCACCACCCCATGACTGTGCGTAAGTGGAAGGAATGTGGCGTGGTGAGTTCAAGGGTGGGGACAGAGAGAGAGAGGCCATCATCCCTGGAAAAGCCATTTTAAACAGCTTTTAAACAGGATCCCTTCTCCTCCATCCCGAGGGATCCCGGGGATAGTCCTGGGGCAACCCTTGCCTGCCATGCAGTATTGATGGGAGAAGAAACCTCTTTAACCGATTGAGACACAGAGCTAACAGTTGGAAGGAACCCCCAAGGGTCATCTAGCCCAACCCCCGGCAACACAGAAATAATATATCTGTATAGACACTCTCGATATATACTCTATACACACACAGTTTCCTTCTGTCTCTAGACCAGGGGTCAGCAACCTTTTTCAGCCGTGGGCTGGTCCACCGTCCTTCAAACCATGTGGGGGGGCCAGACTATATTTTTTTGGGGGGGGGGGAGATGAACAAATTCCTATGCCCTACAAATATTCCAGAGATGCATTTTAAATAAAAGCACACATTCTCATAGCTGTCAACCTTCCCTTTTTTTGCGGGAAATTCCCTTATTCCAGCGCCGTTTCCCGCTGCTATCCCAGATTGTTAGATATCCCGTCGACTGTCCCTGGGACAGGTGAGGCTGCTGATCCCTTATTTTCAAATCTGAAAGTTGACAGCTATGCATTCTACTCATGTAAAAACACCAGGCAGGCCCCACAAATAACCCAGAGATGCATTTTAAATAAAAGGACACATTCTACTCATGTAAAAACATGCTGATTCCTGGACCATCCGTGGGCCGGATTTAGAAGGGCCCCCCCAGCCTTAGTTTGCCTACCCCTGCTCTAGACGCACCATCTCTCTATACTTTCCCTACCAGGGTTTCCCAAACTTGGGTCTCCAGCTGTTTTTTTGGGGACTACTATTCCCATCATCCCTGACCACTGGTTCTGCTAGCTAGGGATGATGGGAGTTGTAGTCCAAACAAAGCAGGAAACCGAAAGTTGGGAAAGCCTTCTCTACTCTGTGTGTGTGTGTGTGTGTGTGTGTGTGTGTGTGTGTGTGTGTGTGTGAGAGAGAGAGAGAGAGAGAGAGAGAGAGAGAGACATCTAGGGTAGCCCCATGAAGCAGCCTTACGCGGCAGCCCCATGGGATCGAACCGACGTAGGATCGGACCGCAAGTGGTGCGCGGAGTTCCCATGCGCACAGCCACGTCGGTTCGACTCAACTTCATATATTTACTTTTTCCGCCTCCGTGGGTTGTTGTTTTTTTTGAGGGGGGTGAGTAGTGGGATTATCCCCTCGGCCTTGTCAGCCTCCTCCTCCTCCCGCTCCCCCCCCCAATCTCTTTCCAGGAAGTTTCCCGGAACCTCGCGCGCCACGCGGTATGAGTGCAACTTTCTCTTCCCCTCCCCGCGCGCCCCGCCAGCCGCTTCCCTCCCGTAAGCAAGAGCCCCTGTTCTTTGCGGCGGAGCGGAAACGAAAGCTAGCCGTGGGCTGGTGAGAAACGACGTGCAAAGTAAGACAAGGACTACTTTGTGCGAGTCCTCCTCCTCCTCTTCCTGCAACTCCTCCTCGCCCGGGAGTCACTGGCAAGGCAGCGGGGGGAAGTTTGAAGGAGAGGGAAAGTGGAAGAAGAAGAAGAAAAAGAGA